TCTTACGTTTGCAAAGAACAAGCTGTGTGCGCAGAAACCTTCAAAACGCTAGCAGCACCCATGTTTTGAAGGCGCTTAAAATTTTGCTTCAAAAATACATTTTCGACGCCAATATTTATAAATTTATAACTGCTACCCAGATAGCATCAAAATGGCAAAGGAATATGTATGCAGAACACACATTTCACAATAATAAGGGACTTGGAAACAAGATGTCGAGTGATTGTGTACGTTCATCTTGAAGAAAATGAGCTAATTTCTCCATTGAAACTGTATATTATGCTTGTTGCTCAAGAAGGAAAAGAAAACGGCTCACCAAATGAAAATCAAAATTATGGAAACGGCATAGAATATGAAAATCCAACCTTTCGAGTATACGTAACAGCCATTGAAAACAGTAAGGCAAATGAGTGGAAATGAATAAGTTTAATAACAAAGGATATCTAGGGCGTTAACGGGTTCCTAATTAATAATTAACTGATAGCAGAATAGAATTTTTTAAAAAGATCAGTGCAATTTCCGAACGTTTAATTCCAACGTGTAGAAGCTGGCATTATCGATGATAAACAGGAAAGCCCGCCATATCTTTAATTCAACTTAACTTTTTGACTTCAATTTTTAAATTTATTCCAACACTTTTGCGTTTCCATTTTTTCCTTGTTCTTTTTTTTTTTGTTGCAAAAGTCTTTAAAAACTTTACAGAAAACACAAAAATTTATCTGGTTTCTAATTAACAATAACAATAAAAGCAAATCTTTTTAGAAATTATTTTTCAATTGGCCTTTAACCTCGAAAGGTAAAAACAAAGCTACAAGTGTCGTTCACGATCATTTACATATACGCGTGCAAGATATTACATCGCATAAACGTGTTTGTTAGCGAATATATCGGGCCTGTCTGCGCGATTTTGTGTTTGTCTGAGCGTAAGAGCTTATAGAAACCATCGATAATGACAATCATTTATGTACATATGTTAAACATTTCATGGTATATATCGATATCATATATATTTATATATATATGTATGTATTTATATATTTATTTATACAAATATTCAAACGACATTCATACCTTTTTGTTCATGCATGCATACGTACGTACGTTGGGTATAGATGAATGTATTGAAATTCATATGCATGCACTTTGTATGTTTAGTTATGTGACCATTAGCCAAGGCAGCGCTGCAGATTTATCATTTTCATGATTAATGAGTCTCTGTTGCGAAATAATTGGAAAACAACACTAAGCAACATCATGTTGTACAAAATAACGAAAACAACAACGTAGCAACAACAACAACAATAATAATAATAATAAGAATATTGCTGCTGTTCATCATAATGCGGTGTGTGGTGATGATGACGATGATGCCGTTTGAATCTCTGTTTAATTTTTTCTTCTTTGGCCTTTTTTTTTTTTTGGTTTTCTGTAACGCCCCAGGACACAAACGTTGCCTCATCAGCATACGTATGCATGTGTAAGTCGCTTCTCACCAACATCATCGCTAACATCGGTATCGACTAGCCAGGTATAAGTGTAGCTATTGTGGAAAGTTGGTTTTACTCGATCAGCCCTGGCTGACTGGACGATGCTGATATTTATCGTATCTTTTGCCATAATATGAGACGCGTAATCAGAATCGCTGTGATGAATGGTTGGTCACATCAATACGGAATTTTCGGTCTAATTGGTATGCTAAGCAAATTTGTCGTTGTTGTTAAGCAACGTTGTAATGTAAACACGACAACAACAGTATAGTAAAAGGTGTTATTGGGCAAAGGACGTTGTGGCGCCAAGTGGCTACAACTCATTAGAGACTTTTGTGTGCCTGTGTACGTACGCAGATATGATGATCATGTTCAGTGGCTGAAGCATATACAAGCACGTACTGTATATGTGTACATGTGTGAGTAAGCAAACTAAATTGCAATTGATTGTGGAAAGTCTTACATTACGTACACGATCTTCTCTGTCTTGCTTTGAACGACTAACTGTTCTTGCATTCTGCTTTCTGCAGCAGCTACTGCCACTCTGGCAGCGTAAACTCAATTTTCAACTTTAGGTCAAAATTCATCTACACCTCGCCGCACCATAGCATATCATACATAGCAGACCAAGGAATCAATTACGAATTTATTACGCTTAGATGTGTGGCAGATAAAACTGTTTTCAAAACTTTCCTGTTTTATAAGCACAAAAGAGACAACAACAAAATCAATAACAACAAAACCGAGGATGCAAAATTAAGCCTGAAATATAACGAAACAAGAGGAGCAAGGAGAATAAAACCAAAGCAAAAAGAAAAGACGAAAAACGGTTGTACGCAATATTAAAAATATGTAACAAAACGTATCCAACTAAACATATACCGTGATGATCGGACGCCTGGATACTAAGCCGTTATAATTTCGGCTATCTTTAGACGACGATATATTTTGGCTTTGGCCATGCAGATATCGAATTGCCATTTTGTTGTTGCATCGTAAAGTCAAGATCAAGAGTAAATGAAGCGCGTGAAATGCAAATTCCAACACTTTATCACCAACAATGTTATGCCACAGCTTTGAATTTCACTTTGCGGTTTTAAAAGACGAGGACAAGTGACACCTAACAAGACTTAGCAATGCAACGAGCATCCTGTGTTTGTCTGTCTTTTCGTTGTTCTCTCTCTTTACAATCGTCAAGTACATACATATATACGTACGTGTATATATATATATATATATGTAACACATAATGCAGATTAAAAAGAGAATAAAAATGATAACAAGATCTAAATTGAGGTTAGAGTTACATACTAGGTACAGTGGCGTTGTGTAATGAAAGAAGTGCGAAAAAATTCTTTAAAAAAAGGGATGCGAACAAGTTTTTTTTGTGCTATATCGTTTCCTCTTCTCTTCTCTTCTCTTCTCTTCTGTTCTCCACTGTTCTATTCTCTTCTCTTCTCTTCGTATATCTTCTCTTATCTCCTTCTCTCACTTTGTAGTTCTTTGTTTTCTATCCAATCGTCTTCCAAACCTCTTTCACTTTTCACCCCTTTCCTTCTCACCAATTTTTTTGCATCTATCTATTGTAAATATATATATATAATATATTATCTTTTTTATATAATATTTCGAAAAACAACCTGAAATCGTTAAATATTTTCAAAAAGCAATTGCAAAAGTTGTGCCTTATGAAATTCATTAACTAATGCTGCAATTCGTTTGTGAACTGTTTTCATTATGAGCTTTCTCAGATTTTCTAATTACAGTTCTACTTCCCGCAACCCACTGTGCGCTGAACATATTAAGCAGACAGCAATTGTAAGACAATGATGCATTTGTAGCTTAATTTTAACACGCAAATTTGTACTTTAAGAGAAAAATTCACATCCTTCTCTGAAACTGAAATGTCACTCAATTTAGCAAAACATAGAACAGAAAAAAGAAAAAAAATTAAAAGCAACTTTTTTATCTAAATAACAAAGAAGCGACATTAAAAAAGGAGGAGAAACAGCCAGCGATTATAGTGATCATGAAGAATTAAAATCGTTATACAAACATTAAAGAATAATGTCATGGTGTATGTTTATCAGAGTTTGATTGTTAACGATAACAATTAAGCCGCAAAAGGATGTTTTGCGTTACACTTTCAAATGTAAGCAATTCGTCAGTTGAAGGGTTCCACTCGTCTGCCGGCTGATTGGGTGTAGTACACATTTGCATCTGCCTCTGTATTTCAAAACGAGTGTGGAAGCATCTAAATATAAAAGCAACCAGAAAACGAGTGTGACCGAATCGGACTGTGCACTGTACGGCAGGCTAAATGATAAATCGCATGCATAGCTGGAAGTCAAGCGGACACAATCTACGCAGCTGCGTCATGCAACCTTTGACGACGAACGACTACTATTCGCATGTTATTCGCCAAACAATAACAAACGTACAGAGGCATTCATTGAAGTCATTCCATCCATATTCCTTTAATATCCGTACACACGTATATATATATATATATATATATTTAGCCATACACAAGCAAACAATGCAATTTTGTTGTATAGTCTTTTGCACACTATGGTTCGAGCGATCCATCCCAAAGACATTTAATACAAGACGCTGCTCCACCGTTGACTAGGAGAGGAGACACTGACTTTGATGCTGACTTTTGTGTACATAGGCATATGAGTGTGCATTGGAGACTACATGCGGAAATGCAATTTTGTCATTATTTATGGATGTGTGTAGTAAGCATTGCATGCCTTGACTCGCTGGCCGAACTAAGCCCCAAAGAAGAGTTACAGAGGTATGTGTAGCTTTCCTTAGACTTGGTCATCTGCATTGTGCATTTCGTTGGCTGCACTTTGTTTGCTAACGGTTTGCCATTAGATTAATTTCTATTCAAATTTTTATTACCAACATTATGTTGCTGCTCTTAGCAGCTCAAACAAGGGGACAAAGTTATACAGGCGCGCCTACTTAAAAATTCGTAGCACATCGAAAGACAAGAGTTTGTCTTTCGTTTTTTATGTGTATGAGTTGTGCAGCAAAATTAAATGAAGCGACAGCAGTAAAAGCCACTAGAAACTAAAAAACAACAACAACGCCAGCAAAGCTGGATGCTGGACATGTAAAAAGCTAATTAACAGCATCATCATAAAACTAACGAGATGTAAAGCATTCAAACACACGATACACTCAAGCGATACAGCGAGCCAACCTATCAACTGGCAACAAATGGACAGACGACCAAGCGGATGACAACAACATTTGAAGAAAGAGAACGAAAGGAAAACCATTCAACAGGTCATCTCATGTGGGGTGATCTCGATCACAAAGGCACACAGCAAAGAGCAGCACAGCAGAGTGCAGCGAAACAAATAAACAAAAATTTATTTACCAAAGCATTCGCTCTGACAATAATTTATAACTCTCGTGGGAATTGATCAACTTAACGTAATTATTGTAACAAGAGAAAGTTTGACAAAGCATCGAAATAATATATAAACTTAATCTCACCTTTGTATATGCCCTTCTACACCAGGCGGCAAAGCTCCGTCGGCCACAATATAAACAGGTTGACCGGCTGCACCAGTAGCGCTGGCATATTGTAGACCACCTTGTACTACAACTTGACCGTCAGCCACTAAACCACTTAAATCGCTGCCCGAATATATTTCAAGACCTTTTTGATCGGAGGTGGTAGTGGTATATATGACTGTTTTATTGCCATCGTTGTAAATTAAATCGATGTGTTTTTCGCCCGGATACAACTCGGGATCTAATTTAGTGGGCATGGGTAGATGTGGCAATGATTTTGTAGTGCCGTCTTGACCGGTAGTAGTGTAAATAATTTGACCGGTTTGTTGTTTTTTCGGATCATCGTAAATATCAACTTCGGTTTTTACTACCGCTTCCGTATCGTAATGTTGCAAAACGGAAGCATCCAAGGGAGACGTTTGATATACTCCCGCATGTTCGTTAGCCATTTTCTGATTAAACATAGCTGCCACTACTGCATTATCGCTTGGCATTAATTTCGAGGGATCACTTACAATGCGGGTAAGTATATGTTCGCCAGCCTCATTACGTGACAGGATATGATGCTCTCCGTTGATAATCTCACGCGAAATGATTTGCTGTTGCTCACCGTTTGGTCCGACAACACGTATTATCTGATTTTCATCGAATTCTATTTTGGCAAGAGGTTGATTTTCTGCACTAGCTTGAACAGCATTTTGCTGATGATTTAGCTGAGCCACCATGCGAGCATCGATTACATGCTCATCTTGTTGTCCCCCCGTCATAACAACTTTCGGACTTTCGTATATGAAAACTGCATCTTTATCGTACAGTTTAGGATTATCCGTATGCAAGTCTAGAACATTAACATTAGTCATGGTAGCTAATTCCGGCTGAGGACTATCCGGTGAACGATGCATAGCGTTCGGTGATATTAGCGGTAGACCGTTACCACTGCCCGATGATCCTATACTAGTTGTTGTGACAATATTGCCGGTCGTTGTGCCAGTGGCACCAGCAACACTAACCGAATTAGCACGAGCCGGCGACAGAGGAGCTTCACTTAAATGAGCAGCACGATGATGCATACTAGCTTGGGCCGCTAAAGCGAGTTCGTTCGAAGTGATAACACTTGTAGTAGCCGGAGATGATGATGACATTTTATGTCAATAATTCTTGGAATCAATTTTTCACAAAACCTGTTCCTTCTCTCTCTCTCTCTCTCTCTCTCTCCTCTCTCTTTCTCTTTCTCAAAAAATAAACATAAAATTCACTTCGAATAGTAATAGAGAAAGGCACCGAATTATTAGCAGTCGTTTTCCGCAATTAAATCCATGTAATTCGTTTTTGCTATAATATGGCTGGCTAACTTTTGACTTCTGTAAGATAAGTCAATGTCTCTTCTACGACTTCAAGCTTAAAATTACGTTTGTAAAATAAAAGGCACTTTAATCTCAGTTGTGGGACGGCTTGTGTGTTTAATGTTTGTTCGTTGTGATGATTGTAGACAGAAGTGTTTCGCAACACCACGACTTAACTCTCTGGTTTGTGTTTACAGGTATGGCACTACAAATTTCGGTCTTCCGAATCTACATTACCATGAATGTATAGGAATGTACCCACTCTTGAGGCATCATAACATGTTGGAAGATTCTCGCAAGACCACCTGCAAGAAAACAGAAAAAAACGGCTTTAGAAATAAATATTGAATGAAAACCTGATTTCGCGTCAGGCATAAAAGCCAAACACTCATTGAAACGTTTTCCTTCAAACTTTTTAAAAATAGACAAAGTTCTTTAAGTTGTATGTTGAAACAATGTATAGTTGAATTCCCGTTTGTACACCAGGTTGAGGCGCCGCGATGTACGGACAGTATGCCTCAAACGCCGAGTTTACCTAAAAGACTCTCTTTTCAAAATCTGATTCATTGATTGAATAAATATGGCAATCAAACACTATAAGCAGATATATGAATAAAGAGGTAAAAACGAAATGCGAGCAACATCCATAGAATCTTCTCAGTAAAAATTAAATTTTATTTATATATTAAAATAGCTTTTTGTAAAACAACCAAAGAGGATATTGTAGCGGATACGCTTTAAGTTTCAAATTAAACTTGAAGAAAATTACTTGTATTGATTATCGCTCTCAGCTGAGGTCTGTTATTTCTATTACTCAAAAGCAAAAGACGGAAGAGAAAGTTTAACCCCGAAAAAAACTAGGGAAGATGTGGAAAATTATATAAAATTAATGACAACTATTAACAATAGATTTTCCATATATTCGAATTATTTACAACTGATGACGATCAAGATGAAAATTAACCTTTGCCGGCCCTATTACATTTGGCGGTCGACCATCCCATCCTAATAATAATCGAAATGATGATGATAACAATATTTATAAATTTCAGTAAATTTATGACTGTGTGCGTGTAAAGCTTATATTTTCATAACGTATATATTCATATATTCATATACATATGTTTGTATATGTGTGTTTGTATATAGAAGAGACCGCGACTATGTAAGTAAGCTCGTAGACCAACGACCTCATTGCAGCTTTTCTTTATATATATGTGTGAGTGGGCAATTTGCAACACAGTTGGGCGTCTATCCATTCATACGCTCGCTGGCTGGCTGAACTACGCTATGCAAGTACATGGCCGACAAAGACATTGAATTGACTTGGCACAGCGCAACACACCAGCCAGCCAACGCAAACTCACAAATTCCGTTTATTTGACAACTGAGATGAATGGAAAATTGCTCACAACGCCAGTGGCTTTTGCCACTAAAGCATCATACGCAGATTTATGCCAACCACCAACCAGCAAACCAGCCACTATTATAGCCAGGCAACAGCCGCAGCACAAACTAAATTACATTCTCTATATAGGAGCCACACAGTAACATAGCAACAGCAACGCAGTAATAGCAACAACAAGGATATATAAAAGCCAAAATTGCATCTGTATATGCACAGAAGATAACATAAAAGAAAAAGAAGAAGAAACGGCCACACAGCAATCGAAACTCAGCAATCGCGTATGAGAAATATTAGCCATGCACACAAAACGTTAATAATTGTAATCAAGCTATAGCCGAAAAGAAACCAAAACAAAAGCAACAACGACAACAACAAACACAAAAGCAACAATGTACAACGTTCAGAATATTGCAGTAGGATGAGCAACTAACGTTTACTTAGTTGTATTGTGTTGCATTTGCGACTACTACTGATCTTCTACCTAATAGCTTGCAATGCCACCGAGAATTTTTTTAATTTATTTAAGCTGCTAAGTGATGCATATTTAATAATCATTATTAAATGCCATGCAGCAGTAAAGTGTTACAGAAGCTTTAGCGGACACCAGCCATCGCAGTCACACAACTTATATCATATGCTTGCTAAATGATCTGAACTCATAATTTTGGAGGCAAAATTGTTATTTGGTGATGCTGGTGTTGATCCATAGACCGTTATACTGATTGCTTCCAAGCGGGACAAACATTTGTAGAAAGTTAGCACTTCGGAGAGCATCAAGAGCTGTCAGCTAAGACGTTACTGTGATCGTACATTTTAAATCATGTGATAACGGCGCCATAAGCACAAACCCAGTAAAACCGCACTAAAGCCGTACGGAATTTATGTTTTAAATACTCCCAAAGTGCATCGCGCGGCCTCCACATTCCAGCCATAACACGCCTACATACTTTTAACTAGTGCACGACACTGCAAATACAAAAACTGCATATAGTAAAAGAAAAATAAAAAAGAAAAAAAAACAAAACAAAACAAAACATTCACCATATAAGCGCACTATCACCGAAGCACTGCTACCACCAACAATCACTATTCGCCCGGACCAGCCTTGTTTACTTCAACAAATACGATATACGGTGCGATACAGTAACGAAGCATTCTAAGACAAAGCAAAACAATGCGCACAAAAATTCAGCAGCCTAGCTTCTCGCTAAACAACGCTACATACATACATGCGATACTGTAGAGCTTTTGAGCACAATCTCAGAGTTTCGTTTTTAATAAGAGATTACTATGCAAACCGCTACCACCACCGCCACCATTACCACTACTACCGCCACCATCATCACCAATATATAGCCGTCGTCGTCATCACCTTCGTTATTATCAACCACCAACACACGGAATCATCGACAAATCTTTTAGGAAAAGCCTCTATGGAACAGTGCGAAGAGCAGAGGAGTGCTTACTGGCAAATAGATACGTATACGTATTATATGAGCACAAATGTGTTTGTCCGCTTGTTCGTTCGTTCGTTCATTGGCCAAACCGCAATGGCAGCCGTCAACAATTTGCATAGCATATAAAATTTACAATTGTACGTTATATTTCGTTTTCATTGCAAGCTTATAACAATGCATTTGTATATACCAGCGAATGAATATCAACGAGCTGGGTATTAGCAATTGATCTAAACCATAGATAGTATTAATATCCCATAAAAATACTGATAATGAGAATTCTCATGCGAAACACGTGGATGCGACCACAAACTGTTCAAATGGAATCGATTTGAAAAAAAAAAAAACCCAATAATAAAAAAATAAATAAATAACAAATAAAACGAAAGGCAATGTGAAGCTTCGTATTTTTACTCGTTTTTCATCTAAAGACTGAAATTAGGGTTAGAGTTGCGGAATCATAGAAGTCATTATCATTACGAAATTTTAAGTTCCCTTTGATTACGGAATGACTAAAAGTACCGATAAGAGCCACAGAAAACCATTTGTAAATAGTTAAGGTAGTCGAAAGTTACTCGAAACTTTCGCAGCATAAGAATTATGGTCTTGTGTTGTACATGAACTTTGGAAAAAGCTTAAAACCAAGGATAAAAGGTGTAACTACAGCAGTTGTTGCGAAATTAGTCTTGTCTTCAATTTCTATCTTTTCTGCAAAGATGCATTTTGCACATTTGAACATTTTGAGCATCATCAGCCTCAACATTTTTTAGGTGAACCGGAATTTCTTATGATATTTTTAAAAACGAAAAAAATTGCATTTCCGACATTGAAAGCTTGCTAAGTTCATTTTAATTTAACGCCAAAACAATTAAATTCTAATCAGACTCTGAAAACCTACGCCGCTCTTCAACTTCGGAATTCATGATACGCACAAAATGGCGGCCGAGACTTAATCCAATGAGTGTGAATTTTACTGCATCGGCACCTGGTCGTCTTAAGGTGTAGAGGGGTTGACACAATGATGTCGGTTATTCCTACCTTCGGGTTCGAAAATCCCAACTGGCGAAAGTTACCATACTATAATTTTTCGCAGGAAAATGTTAACGAAATGTTCTTAGATCCAAAAATAAAAACATCAATAAAAATGTAAACAACAAATATATGAAAAACAAGCAAGAAAATTATAGACGGGCAAGACCGACAATTCAATACCCTACATCAATTAATTTCTCTTGTACAATTATTCACTCATAATATTCTAGTAATAATGCATCAAAAATGACACATGATTTTGATTGAAGCTTAATTTTCTTCAAAAACATTTCATTATCTTTAGGTTTCCATCTTAGAAAGCAAGAAGTTATATTATCTCTTCACATAAGAGCTTATTTTTCATGTTAACACTTTTGTAAGCTAGAGTCTAAAAAATAGATCTACCTGATCCAAATCCGGCACTGTTATTATTTATTTATTTTTTTTTTTGGTTATTGTGCTGCTATGGACCAATATTCTTTATAAAACATTAAAAACTAGGCATCTTTGGCTTACACATTGTGAAAACACTTGTATACGGTGGTATCCAAGAAGTAGCTCTGCGCGGTCCAGATTGGGAAAATAATAAATTTTCAAAATGGGTGGACTGATCGGAACCATCTTCAATAACGTTCGTCCTTGGCTCAAAACACGTCAAATGTCCCAAATTTCATTAAAATATCTCGAAAATTACGACCTGCAGGCTAGAACACAATTTTGCATGGTCAGACTTCAGACAGGCTTACCTCGATCCAGAATATGATTCAGAAAATCATTCTAAATCGATAGATTTAATTAAAGGTGGGTCTATCTTAAGCCCTTGTGGGTGCTGCATACGATTGCGAAAACTTAATGTACCCTGGACCAAAAGTGGCATAGAGTACAACAAGGATGCAAACAATTGATCTTAAAGCATATTGCATTTTTGGTTGATTATTGAAGTAAAGAATAGTGAGAATAACTTGAAAAGAACGAGCACAGTGATGGACTTCGCCGACACAGTTAAATAAATCAAAAGAATTGACAGGACACTATATGATTGTTCAGGCAGAGAGCTCGATATACGTGGTATTGATATTACAGGGTTCCATTCGAAGACCGAGAAAACTGCAGCAGTTCGATTAAAAGATTGAGCACTTGTGACTGATTGATTGTATAGAGATATATTAGCAGCCTAAACTTTAAGTGGTCGTGGAAAGAGAACTTTTAAAAACGCATAGACGAACGGGGAGATATGGTCTTTAAGCAAAACGCTTAATGCGGTTGACCCTCAGTTTGAGTTTATCAACGTTATGCGATGGATAGCCAGAAATCACTTTAAACTAATAGTTCACACGCGACATAAGAAGGACGTGCGCAATTGTATATTCAATGAATTGGGAAGGGCACAGCCCAAATTAAATAATTT